GCATGCATATTAAAGATGGTCAATATTCGTTACAACCACATGTTGGTCAGGAATTGTTAAAGTTTGCAGACACAGATCTTCTAGACGAGAAGTTCAACAGTTCCTTGGGATTGTAAATTACATGGCCGACTTTGTTGATCATTTAACTCCTATTATCAGACCATTGCAGAACATGCTGAAAAAAGATGCACTACCATGGCCTTCAAAACAAACAGAAGCAGTCCGAAAAATCAAACAAAAGGTGCAAGAACTTCCAGCTCTATTTATCCCTATTAACGGGAAAATGATCTTACAAACTGATGCAAGTGATCTATATTGGGCAGCAGTTCTATTGGAGGAGAAAAATGGAAAAAGAAACATTTGTGGATACAAAAGTGGAGCATTCTCAGAAGCAGAAAACCATTATCATTCCACTTTCAAAGAAATCTTGGCGGTAAAACGTGGTATTGAGAAATTTTAACTTCATCTCATTGGACACAAATTTCTTATTGAAATGGACATGTTAGCATTCCCTAAAATGCTTTCATTCAAACAAAAACAAATTCCAAATTCTCAACTACTCAGATGGGCAGAATGGTTTTCAAACTTTGACTTCGATGTCAAACATATAAAGGGAAAAACCAACCTCCTTCCAGACCTACTCACCAGACCAAAAGCTTTTTACTCCCAACCTATCTTTGTAATCTGTATGATGAACCTTCCCTTTCATTTGCTTTCTCAAAATGAATAAATTCCCCCAGAACTTAATACTCTTATCAGAGACAAAACCCTCAATTCTCGAGCCAAAGAGTTCATGTTAAAATACTAGTCCATTGTTATCAGGCAAACAGGAATTGAAACTCTTGGTGGTTTTGGATTTCATCCAAATTATCCATTTTTTAATTTGTTCCATATAATCCCACACCAAGCAGTTTCAAAATTTTCAAAGGAATTACCTTGTTTTTTGTGGTACTTATTGGAACTTTTCCAAATTGGAGTTTCTTTTAATGTTTGTTAATCTCTTGAATGGTTCAAAGAAATCACTTTTCTAAGTTTTAACAAAAATGATCCATTTCAAGAAGCACATTTTGAGGCAAAGAAATTCTTTGAATGATTTTTAAAGATTTGAGAACTTCCCAAAACAATGTTTTTGTAATTTTGATTTTCCAACGGCAAGGATATTTTACAGAAACAGGTTCTTATGAACACTTCTCTTATATCAAGGAGTATGCAGTCCAACCTTTCAATTTCCATTAAGATTGGGAAAGGTATCCAAAGGAGTTTCAAGAATTTCAAAGAAAAATGGCTGAAATCAACCAGACAATTCCTCCATAAATTTGGCCAGACATAGAAGATGATGCTCCATGGGAGATTCTACCTCTAGACTATGCAGCAAAGATTTAGCAAGACGTTCAGAAACACAGAGAAGGACAGTGCCAAATTTTTGGACAAGTATTTGGACACTATCCATCTGCTACTTGGGAAAGTGACAAAATCCATTGGAACCAGTTTTACTTGGGAAGGCCACATCAATGCCTTAGAGAAAAACCTGAATATCCAGAAACCACACCAGAAGGACAACAACTGCGTAACAATCTCTGGAATGAATTTCAAGAAAAAATAAAAATTAATAAAATGGACGTGGACAAACCAGGATCAAACAATCCAGACAAACAAAACTCAAGATATTTGGACACGGAAATAAATTATAATGACAGTGTTTTCCAGGACTCTCAAGATCCATATGATTATGGAACGCAGTCGTATGATTTTGATCCAACAGACCCAGACAATCTTGAAAAATTGGAAGAAAAATTTGATACTACAACTTGGCCTTGGTGAAAGCAACATGGACTCCCCTCTGATTCAAATGAGCCTGGACGAGAAGCAAATCTTGGAACACCTTGATGACTCAGCAGCTCGTGTGAAATAATCATTTTGTCGTTTGCAATAAAATCCCTTTTAAAAAGTAGTTGTACTAAAAGTAGTGAGTCATATTAGTAAAGTGATGAGTCATGTCCTTTTAAGTTGTGAGTCATGTCCTTATATAATAAGTATTGTACTAAAAATGATGAGTCATTGATAGTATTATTAGTTTTGTGTCGGTTGTATGATGATGCTCCTCCTCTATATAAGGAGCTCTTATCTTTCATTGAGGATCATCTCGAGCTCAACTCTTCTTAATAAAAAGTTTGTTCCTCTTAATAATGTTCTTCTAAAATTCTTTCTTTGTTCTTCTATAGTCTTGACAACTGTGAAAATTTCAGAATGAATAAGTAAGAACAAGATCTAAGTAGTATCAAAAGTATGCTCTGCAGTTGCTTCTTTGAGGATCCTCTGCATCAGAAAATTTTGCACTACTGATTATATGATCCCATATGGAGGTTTGGTAATACCGAAAGTCAGGCCCTATGTTGTTGCCCCCAAGGGCTTGTTGTGGGCTAGAATACAGATTGTTACCTATCACATATATTGGATTTTGGTCATAAATGCATGTGATTCGAGCTCCATTCCAGGGAAATGCATAGGTGTTCGTCAGCGTAAGTGGGGCAAATGGGTTGCAGAAATTCGTGATCCATATAAAGGAAGATGGATTTGGTTGGGTACTTGTGATGCCGCTGAAGAAGCATCTAGAGCATATGAAATGAAAAGACTAGAACTTGAGTCTTTGGCTAAGGCTAATAGCATGGAGTCCTTAGAGAAAAGTTCAGATTGTAATGACAGAAATAATGGTACCATGATTGTTTCCAATCTGGTTTGTGAGTGTATACAAAATCATGGTAATCAGAAGATCCATAACGTTAATGCCTCTGAGCAAAACGAGGCTAATTGGGGATTAATAGACGAAGAATCATCGCTGCTGCAATTTGTAGAAGGAATGGACTTAGATTCGGAACTTGAATCGCTACCATTGGAAGGTGATTCCGGGATACCAATTGATGATGACTTTCTCAATGGTTTTCAAGATCTTCTGATTTGTGGGTTGGAAGATTGTGATCAACCTCCATTGCCTGATTTTGACTTCAATTTCGACTGTGGTTGGGTGGATGAAGTACTGACTCACTCAACATAGATTTGCTTGCAATTTTGGCCACTTATCCGTAGTTCTTTTTAATTAAATGAATAGTTGACCTGTAAAAACATGCTTTTAATTTATATGATTTTTACAAAACAATAACATAAGATGGGTGTATTGATTGCACCAAAAAGAAGACGAATTGGATGATCAATAAAGCATTTAACCCCTTCACATTTCTATCTTGTCAGTATAGTTAAAAAGTTTACTCTTGCTCTATAGTTAGTTTTTACTGCTACATAATTCTATGTACAAATCTATCAAAAAACGTTCATATTTTTACAGAATTTGTTGGATAATACTTGATATTGTGAGACATAATTTACACCCATAGTGAGAAGATGTTTGAATAAAGATAAAATGTTGTTCGAGGGATTTGCTTAATTTACTCTGAGATGAGATCATATCTACTTTTTTCATCAAATGAAAGACATTCAAGATTTTCATAAATAGGCAACAATCCTATTTAAACTCAATCTCAATTTGGCTATTATCAAATTCATCTGTTCAAAAACTTGTAACATTTTGTAATTGCTTCGCAATAACTTGATATAAAAATATTGTTTACGAATGAAATTAATAAAAAAAATATAGAGGTGCACTAGCATGGATTTGCTTTATTTGATTCTCTCTCAACCATATATGTATATATTAGTTTAGAATATTACAATAGAAACCACTCATTATTGTATATTTTTCATGGCTTACGTAGTGATGAAAATGAAAAATAATTATAAATGGAATTGGTTTTAAGAACTTCAAACAATTCGTAAGATATGGACGATTCATTAGTTTTAATCATGGAGACGTGCATAATGGTCAAATTGGAACAAAAATTGAAGTTAGATACTAGTTTGAAATTAAAATAAAATCCGGCAGCTAAAATGAAATAATTCTATAAAGTTCAACTAATAATATGTTTAATACTATATTAAAATTAAACTATTGAAATTTATTGAATAATCGGATTTCTTGAATAAAATATTATAAAAAAATTATTCTCAAAATTTCAAACCAAATGTGTTTTTCAATTTTATGTCTTGAGAAACAATTTTTTCAAAGGGTAATTGGCACAAAACGTCCCTACCTTTCAAGTCTATTGTGGAAAACGTCCCTACATTTCATTTTTTGGCATTTTTGCCCTCATTTCAACCTTTCTTTGCGTTGGACGTCCTTCCGTCTATATTTCGTCAGTTTTTCCGTTAATTAAAGGGTAATTGGCACAAAACATCCCTACCTTTCAAGTCTATTGTGGAAAACGTCCTCACCTTTCATTTTTTGACATTTTTGCCCTCATTTCAACCTTTCTTTGTGCTGGACGTCCTTCCGTCCATATTCCGTCATTTTTTCCGTTAATTAAATACAAAAATACCTTTTTCTTTCCATAAACAAGGGTAAAATTGTCCACACCCACTTCACCCATTTTTCCCGCCATCAACTTAGTCCATAAGTAACAGTAGCAGCAACATGAATCTGAAAATACTTTAAATGACTAAGTTAAATAAAGAAAAAATATCGTGAACACATTATATTTCACAATTCCACAACTACTGTTGCTGTCATTTTGTGTCACTGGAAAAATTTAGAAAGACATATTAAATGGGTAGTCAATTTATAATGAGTTAATTTAAAATGAGCCATTCATCTTCTCCATTGAGCCATTCACCACAGCAACAGTAGTTGTGGAATTGTGAAATATAATGTGTAGAACACATTATATGTCTTTCTAAATTTTTAAATTGACTCATTATAAATTGACTCATTATAAATTGACTACCCATTTAATATGTCTTTCTAAATTTTTCCAGTGACACAAAATGACAGCAACAGTAGTTGTGGAATTGTGAAATATAATGTGTTCACGATATTTTTTCTTTATTTAACTTAGTCATTTAAAGTATTTTCAGATTCATGTTGCTGCTACTGTTACTTATGAACTAAGTTGATGGCGGGAAAAATGGGTGAAGTGGGTGTGGACAATTTTACCCTTGTTTATGGAAAGAAAAAGGTATTTTTGTATTTAATTAACGGAAAAACTGACGGAATATGGACGGAAGGACGTCCAGCACAAAGAAAGGTTGAAATGAGGGCAAAAATGCCAAAAAATGAAAGGTAGGGATGTTTTCCACAATAGACTTGAAAGGTAGGGACATTTTGTGCTAATTACCCTTTTTTCAAAATAACAAAGATAACGTATTTTCAGCAATTTCAAAACAGGCATTCAAAATACAAAATTCAAAATGAATTCGAAACTTAAAACTATAAAATTGAAACACGAAGAGAATATCCATTTCGAACAATCGCTGTCAAACATGGACTTTAAAAGGTGTTTCCCTTTGGCATAAATTCTATTGGCGTGTAAGCGACCTTTGGCGTGTAAGCATAAATTCCAAATAAAATGACGTCTCCTCTTTAAATTTTCAAATTCTCTCGAGAAAACTCAACTCCCCTCTGCTTCAAAACTGTACTGTTCCCGACGNTTTTATATCTTATAGGCATGTTTCTTTGATGATCAATTCAGTATTAATTTATTAATCCTTTTATTTTATACAGCTAGTAAGTTTCAAGGTAATTCACTTTTCATGGAAACCGAAAACACATTTATAGGACATGCATCGGAACGTCTATTATTTGATGTTAAAAAATTAAGCATAAAAATAAATTGAAGTTATTAATTGTATATTTTACTTATTTTATTTTTCCGTTTTCATCTGGGTATGTTATCTTCATATTCTAGCTATAACCGGGACTATTTCACTGGAGCAGTCTATGCGAAAAAGTTTCTGAGTACCTATTATGTTGCATTTTTCATTTTTCATTTGCATGCCTATATAAGCTACACATGCAATGTTTGACTTTGGTTATACATGGGAACTACTTTGAGCTTAGTTTATCATGGCTATACTAGTTATTATCATTATTATTTTTTTACCACTTCTACTTTTTATAAATTCAATGTTTGCATTTGACTCATTTCATTAAAGGTACCTGGGTATGCTTCCTTGCGCCGGAATCTTCTTCATCTTGCACCCAGGTACAGCCTTCATGAGCTACTCCTATTATTTTTGTCTATTTTACATGAACTTGATTTTTTTCTTAATTCCATAGGTATTCAGATTATGTCTTGCCTTTCTTCCTCTTTCTACTACACATCACTTTCTTTTTTATCAGATTAGCAAGCCTTCCAGAAGAGGTGAAGAGAGGGTTAGAAGACCCTAATAGTAGGTACATAAATTATCTCTTGATTATTTCTTCCAAAACTATTTTTCACTTCTTGGTCTAACGCACTGCTGCATTCAAGCTATATTACTGATTATGTAACAGTTTTGAATACTTTCTTCCAATTTGTATTGATATTCTTCNCTAACGCACTGCTGCATTCAAGCTATATTACTGATTATGTAACAGTTTTGAATACTTTCTTCCAATTTGTATTGATATTCTTCAAGTATACTTGCTTGAAACTTCTTGGAATGATGTTTAACAATCAGCCCGCCTTGGGGGCGGAAAAGAGAGAGCTCCTAGCTTACTTCTTTCTATTCATATTTGTCTAAATCATGGAGAGAACTTGTAGGTACAACTTTGGATGGAGTCATGGCAAAGAGAAGCTCGAGTCTGGAAAACCAGGTAAAAAGATTGGCGAACATTTAAAATTTTTAAGATATCATTCATTTTTTATCCTGCATATTTATCATGGTGTTTACATGAGATCAAGTAATAGAGATTGCTTCCATAGTGATGGAGATTGCATTACTATCAAGGGATATTCCAATTAAAAAATAAGCACTTACTTTAAATGTAAATTTGATTAAGTAGATAATTGAATTTCTTGTAATAACTAAGAGAAATTCCACCTGGCACCCCAGGCAATTCATTGTCGTAGTGACACCCTCTCTCATTTGAAAAGTTTTAGATATCTCCATTTTCAAGTGTTTTGCATAACATATACCATCATTGATGGTTATTAAGAAAAAAAGGCGTCAAATATTTAAAAAAATTGAAATAATCTCTCTATCGTTTGAAATTATCGCTGAGCGGAGTTTGAAAGATTTATAAAATTTGTTTCCATGGTCACACGCTGAGGTGACGTTATCATACATTGTTCTTCATGCACGTTAAAGATGAAGTTGCTCTTCATATGTGTAAATTATTATTATTGTGTCTCGTAGGACTGGACAAAACTTTTGAACCGGACCGAACCCGACCCAAACTGAATTGAATCGAATGGGTATGTGTATTGAGAACCGATGGGCTTAGTTTGATTTTTGGTTTTAGATCAAGAATCGAAGAACCGAAACTTATTGATTTTTTTAATTTATTTATCTTAAGTAAGCCACATTATTTTTTTAAAAATAAATTTACTAACTAATTAATTTAGTCCAAAACCAAAAATATCATTTTTCTATTTCTAATTTCCAATCCAAGCCCAACTCAATCAAATTGACCTATGTTTTACCCCAATTTGTTAATCTACCATTGTATCATTTTTATTATCCAGAGAAATCGAAGTGAAACTCGGTTGCGCCTTTCTTCATGTGATTTTAACAATCAAATTTATAAAAAAAACTCAGCAAAAAGAGACGCAAAAGATATATAAGATTGAATTACGTTATTTTGTAAGAGATAAGATTAAATATGTCGTTAGTTGAATTAATGTAGCTTTGTAAATATTAAAAAAATTAATTATAATATGGAATCTGAAAATCGAACTGAATGGAATCAAATCCGAACGGTTCCATTAAATTTGACCTTAAGGTTCCACTTACTAAATACCTGAAATTCGTGTCGATTAGGCTTTCTTTAGAATCGAATCAAATCGAATCGGACCATGTCCATTTGTATTGTCTCATGATTACGTGAAGGAAATTGGAAATATGAAAAGTTCTTGCATGTGAATTTGAAATTAAAGATAGTACCCAAGGTATTTTGTAGGTGTTTTATTTGCTAGAACTAATAAAGTCCTATCTATGCTCCTCAAAACTACACTTTGGATATTTTGAAATATGTAGGTATGTTGGGTTGCAAGCCCACAAGACTTCAAAGGATATGTGATGTAGGATTATATAAACACAAACAAATAACCAGTCACATAGGAGGAAAGGAGAGAAGTAGAAACCAGGGAGGAAAGATGAAGAAGGAGAGAAGAGAAGGGGAAGAAGAGGGGCGGTGGAAAAGCCTGTGGCTTTCAACTCATATTCATTTTTCATCAGTTCTGCCCATGCAACAGGCTGCATGCCTATATATAATATACAAACAAAAAGGTCGGGCTTGGGCCAGCCCAAAACACTATACAAGCCCAAAGCAAAATAAAAAGGCCTGGGCCAATACAAAAAACATAATATAAGCCCAAATAAAATACTAACTAAATAGTGCAAAATAGATGTCCTCATCAATATGCATTAGAAACTTGGGGATACATTAGAAAAGGAGTCAATTGGAAATGAAACTGATCAAAAGCTTGTGGGCAGCTTATTTATTTCTCTCACTGGACTAGATATTACTCTTGCAGTAACAGTTAGTCAATTTATGCACTTTACCTGTGAAGAGCATATGGAGCGTGTAATAACAAGATTTTCAGTCACTAGAAAGCTCTCCAATAAAAAATTGTTTTTCGTCAAGAATAATCACTTAAATGTGGAATGTAGCAACATAAACATTCTGGCTCCATCATTGACAGAAGGTTAACTTCTGCTTATAGCACTTTCGAAGTTCAAAAAAGGAACTGAGGGCTATAGTGCTAGGGATTTGTGAGTTAACCAAATCTATTATCAGAAACGAAGATTGATACCACTAATCCTATGAACCTCTATATATACTATCAAAATTGCACTTAATACTTATTGCGGATACTTTCGAACCAGTTCAAAGGGGAATGGGGCAAAAGCGAATGCCAGAAAATGAGATTTCCTTTTTTAGTAATGAAATTTGATTTCCAGTGTCCATGGGATTTTACCAGTTGTAAGTTTGTATAGTTACCTTTTCAGTTAAGTTCTTGTTTTATATATTTAGTGTAATTGATGCTTTGGAAGGGATATTCCTACAGTAATTTGTTGAATTGACCGATAGAGAAGTCCGTGATTCACTTAATGACATATCACTTTAGACGTTCATTAGTTTAAGCTGTGCATTTTTCCCTTATGGAGTTGAATGCATAAGCCATTATTGGTGGTCTTTCTAAAGATTTTCCAGTGTTCTTTTTTGTTAGGTACCCTTCCTACTGTGGACGAAATATATGGCCTCAGGATGCTTTACCAGAACTTGAGTTGGGTATGCACTGATAACCATTTTTTCAGGATGTCTCGATATCCTGTACCAAAGCTCCCATATAAATGGTGCCTCAAGTTTTCTTAGTTCTTTCTCCTTGAAACGTGTACTGATTTATAGGTTACTAGGTTTATGTTTTTGTGTAGATAAACTTTGCTGGTGTATCAGAAAAACTAATGTGCTGTCATTCCCTTAAATTTGGTGCCTCCAGTTTCATTTTTCTTTTGTTTTCTCCTCTGAAATTTTGACTGTTCTTTAGGTGTGTGTTTGGTGTAGATAAAGTTTGGCGGGTTTATCAGAAAACTAATGTGTTTGGTCTAATAAAATTACTAGTTGGCAACGGATTCAGTAAAAACTGTTCTGAAACCAAGTTTCTAGTTAATTGTCTTTGATTATATTTGGGTATCAATTAAAGTATATGATGTCTATGATTCCAACTTTCGACTATATTGAGCTAAATTGTAATTTCTCACTGTTCCAGTCATGCTGCAACTCAACCTGGCTCGTTGGGTTGTGTTGGTTTTAGATGACATCCAATAATTGCTAGATTTATTTGGTCTGTCAGTTCCTTTTAAACCAGTGCTGTTACTCTATCTGTTTGCATATTAATTTTTCGTGAATTTGTAAGGCATCCTCAGCTTAAATTTTGTGCATTAGAGTCATTGGCACCTAAACCAAAGCACTTCTTTTGGCTAGCCATGACACCGATCTTCTTAATTATTATAATTGTTATAGTTTGAGGAAATGTCAGTTGAGTAGGGTTTCTCTTTTACCTCTATAATTTTTTTGGTTTTGGAAATGTGGATACTTAACATTGTTCCTTACATTCTGGTAGCTTTTAAAGCTCTGGGAAAACTGATTCTGGATGTTGGATTGCTGTTGGCGTATCACTGTGATGGTTACGGTAAGTACATGTTTAAGAATTGTCTTTTTTGTTATGTCTTTGAAATGACTTCTCTTATTGTCCAGCAGTTTATGTTATCTGCTTTTATAGGAAATTTTAAGAATCCAATTCCAAGGAGTGCATATTTAATATTCTTAACATACTTCATTAACTTGTTTTCCATGGATTTATTTATACTAAAAACAAACCGAGTGTTTTTTCAAATAGAGGCCGGCTTTAATAATCCTTTTATTCCACTGTATTTGGTCCATTGCTACACATACACAAATATATTATGCAATCAAATCCTTTCTAACAAAATCATCTCACGTGCTTTTGGTCTGTCTCTTCTTCTTCTCTTCTGATCTGTTCTACTGGCACCACAAAGGTTTTTTTTGATTGAGAGCTTCTTTAGCTCTACACTATGCACACCGACTTAGTTGCTCTACGCAAGAGACACACACCAGGTTACGTAAGTTGTTATTCCTTTTATTGTAGATAGGTACTACCCCTACTTGGCACCATATATTCTCATTTATTATGTTAGCCAGTGTGTTCTTATAATCCTTTCATGAAACATCATACCATTTCATAGAAATTATGAAATGTATATGACTTCACTTTTTCTTTTTTTTTTTTGTAAGTACTAAGTTTGTGTATCTCTTGACCACGACCAAATGAAACATAAATGAGAATGTATTCTTGTTAATAAGATCTAATGAACGTATATGATGTCTTAACCTAATGTTGCCTGATTGGCCTTGGGCTTACTACTAACAATTATTTGGACTTATACAGTATCCGAAGGGCTGAAGCACGACGATGAAGGTCTTCAACGAATTCTTCTTCGGTCCCGATGTCATAAAGGTCGCCTGCTTTATTATTTTCCTGCCCTTCAAAGGTACTTTTTCTGTTTACTCTTTTGCTTTTATAATATTTTAAGTTCTTTTCCTTGACTATAATTTTTCTGCAGTTTGTATATCAGTTCATAGCATCAAAATTATTTTATACTTTTTTAGTAACTAAGCATGTTGATGCACAGTGGTGTAAATAGGGTTGGCCTCTCAGGCCCAGGGTGGCCTGACTCATGAAAATCCTGCTCCTTGGCTTGACCCATGGGAACCCAGGCCCTGCTGGTCCGAGGCTCAAACCAACGGGCCTACAATCCCAAAAAGAAGATGAGCAATATGATACAAATGGAAATTGACGAATTCGATGTTCTTTCCTTTTACTAGTAAACTGATCGACATGATAATA